TGTCTTGCTCGGTGCCGATCGACTGCACTCACGTAGCGATTCTGACTCCTGCTGGCCGACATGGATATGATCTACAATTAAATCTCGAAAGAACTATTCATTCGATGAACGTACAGGCTATCTGTTGATGCCAACCATGACCATCAATCAGATAGCTTCATCCTGCCGACTTTAAGTTAGCCCACGCAGAATTCAGGTTGACGGTAACTGGCGTGAATGGCTGCGTTGTTAGGGATCAGTGGCTATCCATTTAAATGTCTGGCCTAGATGGTTCCACTAAAGAAATGAGAGAAAGGTCTACAAACACATATAGTCTATCAGCTGGGGGAAGTCCTGTGTGCATTTATATGTCCCCGCAGTTTGACGCTTGATTCATGTAAGGGACACCTATCTGTAATGCCGTGTTTTTTGAGTTAATAAAGTTGTATTAAACGTATTATCTTTATCAGTTATTATTCTTTCGGCAAGACATAACACATCGTGATATTGTGTGCTTAAAAATATAATTAAGGGGGCAGAATATCCACATAATTAATAGCTCTCTAATATTAGGCATATGTGATCAATAGTAATGCACGACAGGAATTAAAACAGAAGTTGGAGTCCGAATAAAATGATTTCTTCCATTCAGTGTAGAGAAATATGTGTAGTAAATATCAATAGTAATGCAAGGCATGAATTAAAACAGAAGTTTGTTGTTGTTGTATTAAACGCATTATCTTTATCAGTTTATTATTATTCTTTCGACAAGACTTAGCGCATAGCAATATTGTGCGCTTAGAAATTAAGGGGCCAAAATATCGACATAATTAATAGCTCTAGAATATTAAACATATTTGATCAATAGTAATGCAAAGCGTGAATTAAAACAGAAGTTTGAGTCAAAATGAAATGTTTTCTTACATTCGGTGTAGGGAAATGTGTTATCAATAGTAAAGCAAGACATGAATTAAAACAAAAGTTTCAAGAGTAGTAAGGGTGAACCAGGGTATATTGTTATTTATAGCAAAGATCGTAAAGTTCGTTTACTATATACAACCTTGTGCCTTGTGAGTACAGATTCCTAGCACGCACATTAAAATTAATGTGTACACGCAAATCACAAGACCACAAACAAGTAAGTTACGTTACAGCTAGGGACAGCTTTCTGGAATTTCATAGCAAAATTCGAAAATTCATGAAGTTCGTCTACTATACTGACATTCCGCAAACTAGTAAGTTACGTTACAGCTAGGGGCAGTTATCTGGAATTTCATAGCAAAATACGGACATTCATAAATTTCTTTTACTATAGTGACATTCCGCACACAAGCAAGTTACGTTGCAGCTAGGGGCAGTTATTCCTACGGAGTTTCATAGCAAAATACGAAAATTCATAAATTTCTTCAACTATAGTGACATTCCGCAAACAATTAAGTTACGTTACAGCTAGGGGCAGTTAATTCTATGGAATTTCATAGCAAAATGCGGTCGTGAACGACAGCAAAGGTTTCATTCTTTGGTGAATTGGCGATGAAATATAAACTCGCAAGTCATGTTGATGTTTGTTAACCAACATTCTCTATATTATCAACTCTTCACAGCATCATATACATGATTACATACATACATACATTATGTTATAAGACCGCAAACAGATATCTTACCTTACAGCTACGGGCAGTTACTCATACTGTCTTTTAGAATTGCATACCAAAATACGAAAATTCACAAGGTTCGTCTACTATATACGTACAACCTTTCTATGTGTATAGTACAGATTCCTGGCACGCGCATACACACGAATCAAAGATGTAGGTCACAAGACAGGTGACAGGCAGCAAAGGTTTCATTCTCTGGTGAACTGGCGATGAAATATTAAGCTGTGAAGTCACGCTTATATATTAAACCTAAACCTAATACACAAATCCTTCTCCAACCTCACACACACACGCACGCACATAAACACGAACACACATATATGAACGCACACACGCACACGTACACACCTGCTGCTGCTGCTGCTGCTACTACTACCGCAGATAAGGTCTGTGTCTCCCTGACCTGGCTCGTTTAGCTATTTCTGACTAACCCTAACCCTGGTAACTATCTGATATGGTTAGGGTTAGGTTTAGTTAAAAATAGTTAAACGAGCCAGGTCAAACAGAGGTCAGAGAGACATAGACCCTACGGGCACTACTACCACTACTTTCCTATCCCCAGCGAGCACAACGTATTTATGTCTGAGCAGACAACTTGTAAACAATACACAAAACCTAACAATATCAACGACAACGCATCAATTATTTGAAGCATTGGCTGGTTCAGCAAAGTTATAACATTGCTGACTTCGCCCTTAGAATCACAGAAGTACGACACGACGGCAACGTGGTGATCCATATTGTGGGAACCTGAAAAAAAACACACACAAAAACACAAACAATATAATTATGTTGATCCCTCGATGCTTGTCACTTGTCCGCCGCTCAGTTGCTGTGAAACTATGTCCATTGCCCGTTGTTCCGTTGATTCGTTCCAGGTTGCGATGATGCTAGGGGATGATCGCTCTGCCTCTCTCCATTTCTTTCTTGATTCCATAAACACCATGAAAAAAAACAGGAAAACAATCAGTAACTCTGACCATCGCTTCCTTATCATACAAATACATCAATGTACAAAATGGATACCCATATGCAAAATATGAAATACAACTGGAATAACATATGTCACAATACGACAATTCACGATAAGGTCATATGACAATATGACAAAATACGACAATTCATGATATGTTTAGTCTACTGTAGCATAAATTTACCCCCAAGCAAGGCGATCTATTAGACGAAGGGTTACCACTCGGTCACACCTTTTGCTTGATAGTGAATCAAATTGATGACAATTACCTGATCTAATGCCAGCATGACACGTACTCAGCAATGGGTTGCTGGGTTGCTTGATCGAAGTCTTCACATCGATGTCCTCAAAACCTGCCAAGTGGAGCCGGTCGCAACAATCCGCCGCTCGGTTTCTGTGAAACTATGTCCCTTGCCCGTTGTTCCGTTGATTCGTTCCAGGTTGTGACGATGCCAAGAGATGATCGCTCTGCCTCTCTCCATTTCTTTCTTGATTCCATAAACACCATAAATAAACAGGAAAACAAACATTAATTGACCATCGCTTCCTTATCATACCATAAAAATAAAAATGTGAACAATATGACAAAATACGACAATTCATGATGGTGACGCGCCGCCTGGTTGAGCGATTTCTCTGGACGATTCTTTGTACAGCAGCTGACCCTGAATGACAGCATGATAATAACTGCATTAAAGCGATTACACACCGACACGATACAAATAGCATCGACACAATTACACACCGACACAATAAATACCAACAACATCTTATCAGGAGTGAATAATAATAAATCTATAATTATAAGCTATTATTATTCACTCCTGATCTTATCCAATCCAAGTTCTGCGTTTTTGCATGCATTCACTTTAAACAAAATTGACAAAAGCTGAAACCATCTTTCTGGTAAAAGCACCCACAAGAAATAGAAGACGATGACAACAAAGAAGGTTAGGAAGAAGACGTTTGAATGTCAGAGGACGTATGCTAGCGTTCACCGAGAGTTCATTCATTAGCAACACGTACCCATTGGTGCGTGCGCCTTCTCGAATTCTCGGATTCTCAGGACCAGGCGATGTGGGTCAGAAAGCAGTTCATCAACAGTCGCTTCTCAGTCTTTCTCATCTTTTTTATAAGTCAAAGTTGAATGTAGAATTCAATCAAATTGTCTCCGTAGAAAAAAGTACGCAGGAACGATCTATTAGACGAAGGGTTACGACTCGGTCACACATTTTGCTTGATAGTGAAGCAAAAGTGATGACAATTACCTGATCTAATGCCAGCATGACACTCAGCATTGGGTTTCTGGGTTGCTGGATCGAAGTCTCCACATCGATGTCCTCAAAACCTGCCAAGTAGAGCCGGTCGCAACAATAACATAGCTGGTCGCAGCAAAATTAGTCTGCTGCATCAGTGTGCATGTGCAAGAAAGAATGAATTCAGAGTAGTTAGAGGGAGCACAATACGTGCGATGCACGTTCAATGGGTCTGGAAATGTAAATTGAGTTTAGACTTACATTAGTACCATCTTGGTCTGCAATGCAACCACAAAAACAGCAAAAACTGCAATTGCGTGTTTGGACATGTATTCGCTTTATTCTCGAAAATACGTCTTTGCGACAACAACTAACACCAACATTTTACGTTTAAATTTAACCTAAAAAGGGTTAGGGTACCATAGTATAGGTACAATAATAGATAATATTTAAGAGCAAACTGCGAACTGCGAACTGCGAACAGCGAACAGCGAACAGTTATACCAATACCTGTCTAAGTCGATCTGCATAAGTACTCAGGTCCCGTCGTTGGAAATTTATGCTCGGTGACATCTTCGCTGGTTATTCTTCCTAGTGGAACCATATAGACTGTTGTGGTGCATTATCGTACATTATAAATGGTAATATAACAATGAGAAACGGGTTTGGATCGCCCTTAGAATCATAGGAGTACGCAAGCCCCCACACGACGGCAACGTGGTGATCCAGATTGTGGGGGACCTGGAAAGAAAAAAAACTACATATAGCTAATCGCAATGGTGAAATATTACTTATATGAAGATATTCAGCAGCCTAGATACAATAATGTAACCCAACACCAACTCTACTCAGCGGTCTAGCCTGACATGCAGATGCGGGGGTAGAGACAAAAATCTATAGCAAGGTAGTTCTTCAGGCTCTTATAGCTATTCATATTTACACTTGATCTTTGCAAGCAAAAGTTGCAAAAACGTTCTGAAAGTGAAGAGAGGCTTATCTGTTTTTGCGCTTTTTTGCTATTAGAAGATTAGAATATTTCACATCGTATCCCTTGCATAGATGCTGCTTCGTTTCTGTCATCCCTTATCTGAATTCTCTTCCTTTCTCTTTGATCACTTGCAAAATCTACTGATATACGCAGTGTTGATCAGTCTATTTGTCACTTGGTTGAATTTGCTGTTAGACGTTATGAGTTTAGAGGTAAGGAGTTTAAGGTAGAGTTTAGACGTTATGAGTTTAGAGGTAAGGGGTTTAGAGGCGAGGGTTTAAGGTATGGTTTAGACGTTATGAGTTTAGAGGCAAGGGATTTAGAGGCGAGGAGTTTAAGGTAGAGTTTAGACGTTATGAGTTTAGAGGTAAGGGGTTTAGAGGCGAGGGGTTTAAGGTAGAGTTAGACGTTATGAGTTTAGAGGTAAGGGATTTGAGGTAAGGGGTTTAAGGTAGAGTTTAGACGTTATGAGTTTAGAGGTAAAGGGTTTAAGGTAGAGTTTAGACGTTATGAGTTTAGAGGCGAAGGGTTTAAAGTAGAGTTTAGACGTTATGAATTTAGAGGCGAGGGGTTTAAGGTAGAGTTTAGACGTTATGAGTATAGAGGCAAGAGGTTTAAAGGTGAAGAGTTTCTTATGAGTTTAGAGGTAAGGGGTTGAGAGGCGAGGAGTTTAAGGTGGAGTTTAGAGGCGAGGGGTTTATCTGTCATGTGTGTGCATGTGCGAGCGTGCATGCGTGCGTGCAAGTGTAAGCATGCGTGCAAATGTAAGCATGCGTGCAAGTGTAAGTATGCGTGCGTGAAATTGTAAGCATGCGTGTGAACGTTTTGATAGATGGTACTAGTACCTGTACGTTACAGATAACCAGAAGCCGTAACACAGCATAAGGTTTATTTAACCTACTGTATACGTACCCCCTGTGTGTGTGCTGTCCCCGACCGCGAAAATAACAACACGCGAATAATTCATACCGAATAAATCATAATTCATAATTCACCAACCGCGAAATTTACCACTCGCGAAATTGTCCGTCAAGTCTGATTTCGCGAAAATATCTGTACGCGAAGAATAATACGCGTATACAGTAATTCAATCTTTCAGGATCTGCCGTGTACATGGACCAGTCACGATGCGGTACAACCTTTACGGTGGCTGTGTTCTACCTTGACAAAACAACATGTGCAGCAAATAACGATGTTGTAAGATAACTGGAAGTAATTATGTAATAAAACAGTTTTGACTATGCATTTAGTATCCGACAAAACAAAGTAATGAGTAATAAACAGAGTAACACCGAGAAATGGGTGTTCTCAGTCTGGATAATTATATAACTCGCATTTGTGCATGCGAGAGTCTCAGGGCAGCAAAGTGGATTCCACGAGTCCGAAGTAATTCAATCTTCTAGGATCTGCCGTGTACATGGACCAGTCACGATGAGGTACATCCTTGGTGGTGGCAGTGTTCTACGGTTTTCGCCTACTCCCAATTCGTCTACACTAAAACTCCACCCCATTCCCATTTTGTCTACCATATACGTCACATAATACGTCACGCACACGCGCACGCACACGCACACACTCTGAATAAGTAAATCCATTACGAGGCAATGTGATTTCTACCTAGATAAAATAACATGTGCAGAAACCACGCGCACACGCACACGCGCACGCACACGCACACGCACACGCACACAATCTGAATAAGTAAATCCATTACGAGGCAATATGATTTCTACCTAGATAAAATAACATGTGCAGAAACAACGCGCACACGCACGCACACGCGCACGCACACGCACACGCGCACGCACAAACACACTCACACAATCTGAATAAGTAAATCCATCACGAGGCAATATGATTTCTACCTAGATAAAATACCATGTGCAGAAACCACGCGCACACGCACACGCACGCACACACGCACGCACATGCGCACGCATATGGCAAGCCATTTGTATCATAATTCGAGAAACCACGGTTCCTCGCACGAAACGAGGTTTCGTGCTCACAAAACCT